TGGATTTATGCTGCTGGAGCCGTAGCACCAACACTACATCAGGCAGTAAAGTTTGAGTGGAATCACCAGGAGGTGATCATTTACGATGACGGTAGCAACCCTATATACAGTCGCCAGACCATCCCGACAATCGGAGGCAGAAGAAAGATAGGTGGGGAGACCTATCACCACATCGAGCGAGTCAACGCCGTTGACAAGGATAAATGGTGGGACAACAAAATCGAGAGCATATTGAATTGGAGTGGGTACGAACCGGGTAAAGGGCTTGGCAAGAACCTCCAAGGAATTGCTAAGCCCATAAAGCTCAAGAAGCATGGCACCACCTTCAGTCTGGGATATGAGTACACCTGGGAGGAATTCAACAACTGGTCGCCACCATGGCGCGGTCCTTACTATCCGCTGGAGCAGCCAATACCACATTTGGAACAGACTTTCCAACCGGCCGATGTTATCTATTGGTCAGAAAAAGAGGAAGCACTGGCAGCAGTGAAGAATTTGTTCCTGGAAGATGATGATATGGATCGTTGCATCGTTCTCGAGGAAGAGGGGGAGGAAGGCCCTTCCATACAAGCTGTGAGTGGAGGAGCATGCCTCAATAACTGGACCATCAGAACCACCAGAGCCCGACGAGCCTCGGGGTAGCAAGGCTGAACAAGCATCATGCACTATCTTTTAACTTTACTAGTTTTTCTTTCGCATTTTAAATTTCCACAATAAGACCTTCAATGTTCAAAACAGTTATGGAATTTATCAAAGCATTTCAATTTTTTCTTATAAATCAACACTCTTATTATTTTCTCTCATTACTCTACTTATACAGCATTACTATTACTTATCTTGATGAACCGATGACTGTGACATGCAATGAGACAACGCAACAAACGGATATAGATTCAGAGGAAGATGACATATCGGAAGAAATTTTAAGGAAGTTGAGAAGTTTGAAAACAAACCAAAATCCAACCTGGACGAGACAGAAATTGTTAATCTGGGAGATGAAGAAAATGTCAAAGAAACGCGAATCAGTGTTCACTTATCGTCATCAGAAAAGAAGGAATACACAGAGTTTCTAAGAGAATATGAGGACATATTCGCCTGGTCATATGACGACATGACGGGCCTAAGCACGTCTATTGTGGCTCACAAACTACCAACTGACCCGACATGTCCACCGGTAAAGCAGAAGCTCAGAAAGTTCAAACCTGATATGAGTCTGAAAATCAAGGAAGAAGTCACTAAGCAGATCAAAGCTAAAGTTCTCAGGGTCGTTGAGTATCTGACATGGTTAGCTAACATTGTGCCAGTACCAAAGAAGGACGGGAAGGTGCGAGTCTGTGTCGACTACCGGGATCTCAACCGGGCCAGTCCGAAAGACGACTTCCCTTTTCCAAACATGCACATCCTGATTGACAATTGCGCCAAGCATGAATTGCAATCATTTGCGGATTGTTTCGCCGGTTACCACTAGATTTGGATGGATGAAGAAGATGTTGAGAAAACGGCTTTCATTACGTCGTGGGGAATGTACTGCTACAAGATGATGCCGTTTGGTTTAAAGAATGCAGGGGCCACCTACATGAGGGCTATGACCACCATTTTTCATGATATGATACACAAGGAGATCGAGGTGTACGTAGATGATGTTATCATCAAGTCCAAGAAGGCCACCGATCACATGGAAGATTTGAGAATGTTTTTCAATAGGTTGCGAAGGTACAACGTGAAACTGAATCCCGCGAAGTGCACATTTGGGGTACCCACTAGAAAATTGCTGGGGTTTATTGTGAGTCGCCGAGGAATAGAACTGGATCCATCAAAGGTGAAAGCCATTCAAGAACTACCACCGCCAAAGAACAAGAAGGATGTGATGAGTTTCTTAGGGAGACTCAACTACATCAGTCGGTTCATAGCACAGTCCACAGTTATCTGTGAGCCAATCTTTAAGATGTTAAAGAAGGATGCCGCTACTAAGTGGACCGATGACTTCCAGAAAGCTTTCGACAGAATTAAGGAATACCTATCAACACCACCAGTCTTGGTCCCGCCCGAGCCGGGTAGACCTTTACTACTCTACATTGCAGTATTAGACAGTGCCTTCGGTTGCGCCCTGGGGCAGCATGATGAAACGCGGAGGAAAGAGCAGGCCATTTACTATTTCAGCGAGAAGTTCACTCCGTACGAGGCCTGGTACTCTCTGTTAGAGCGTACCTGTTGCGCTCTAACTTGGGTGGCCCAGAAGCTGAGGCACTACTTCTGTGCCTACACTACATATCTCATATCAAGGATGGACCCTTTGAAGTACATCTTCCAGAAGCCCATGCCCACTAGCAAGCTAGCCAAGTGGCAAATCCTGTTGAGTGAATTTGGCATTATCTACGTGACTCAGAAAGCAATCAAGGGACAGGCACTAGCAGATCACCTTGCTAAAAACCCCGTTGATAGAGAATATGAACCTTTGAAAACATATTTTCCCGATGAAGAGGTATCGTTCGTAGGAGAAGACATTGCAGAATCCTATGACGGCTGGAGAATGTTTTTCGACGGAGCGGCAAATTTCAAAGGAGTTGGCATAGGAGTAGTCCTAGTATCAGAAACCGGTCAGCATTATCTGGTGTCTGCCAAACTCAGGTTCCCCTACACCAATAATATGGCCGAGTATGAAGCTTGCATCCTAGGGCTCAAGATGGCCATTGAGATGAACGTTCAAGAGTTGCTAGTAATTGGAGATTCAGACTTACTCACACATCAGGTCTGAGAAGAATGGGCAACCAAGAACTCTAAGATACTCCCGTATCTGCATCACGTACAGGAATTGAGAAAGAGGTTCACAAAGACAGAATTCCGACATGTTCCCAGAATCCAGAATGAATTCGCCGATGCATTGGCTACCTTGTCGTGCATGATACAGCATCCCGATAAGAATTTCATTGGTCCCATTTTGGTGAAAATTCATAATCAGCCGGCTTACTGTGCCCATGTTGAGGAAGAAGCAGACGAAAAACCTTGGTTTCAGGATATCAAGGAATATTTGACAAAAGGAGAATACCCAGAACTTGCAAATCCTATTCATAAGCGCACACTTCGGAGGTTATCCAACAACTTCTTTCACAGTGGAGGAATCCTGTATAGGAGGACTCCTGATTTGGGTCTACTCAGGTGTGTCGACGCAAAGGAAGCATCCAAGCTGCTAGAAGAGATTGACGGTGTTCTTATTTCTTTACTTTTTATATCACTTGTTGATTCTTGTTGCCATTTACTGATTTCTACTTTCTATTATTAGCTTTGTACTGCAAAGGTTATTTTGTCTAGTGAGTGTCTTGACTTATACCTCGTCACTACTCCACCGAGGTTAGTCTTGATACCTACTGGGTACCGACCGTGGTGTACTCATACTATACTTCTGCACATTTTTGTGCAGAGTCAGGTATTGGAGATATCAGACTTGGGCAGAGTTAGCATATTGGTCGCGAGGATTCAAGGTAGAGTTGCTTGGTCGTCGCAGTCCCTTGGAGCTCTTTCCTTACATTGTAATGTAAGCTTGTTATTTGAACACTATTGTATTTTTATATTTGAGATCTTTCCATGTACTTAGATAGAGTTAGTGACTCTGTAATAATAGTCATGGCAGGTTGTTATGATTATTGTTGCGTAGACTCATTTCGCTCATGTTTCGGTATTCATATTAAACTCTGTTTCTAATTATCACTGTTAAAAACTAGCTTAATTGTTATAGTAATCTGCTTACCTAGTCTTAGAGACTAGGTGCCATCACGACATCCTATGGAGGGAGTTTGGGGTCATGACAAGTTGGTATCAGAGCTCTAGGTTCATAGGTTTTACGAGTCTCAAGCAAGTTTAGTAGAGTCTCTCAGATCGGTACGAAGACGACTCTACTTATCATCAAAAGGCTACAGAACTATTTGTAAAATTCCACTTCTTTCATTCATGTCGTGTGGATTTGTTGATTTCGAATTTTGAGCCTTTGTATCTCTATTCTCTCATAGATGGTGAGGACACGCGCTACCGGATCAGCTAAGCAGACACCCGTGCCCCCTGCTAGATCCGTGAGAGGCCAGGGCCGAGGTAGAGGCCGAGGAAGGGCGCGCATCATAGCTACAACACCTATCAGAATAGCATTTTAGGAGTCGTCTGTAGCTCCGGTTAGGGGACAAGCACCAAGGCGCATATTGTTACCCCCGGACTTCAGGAGACTTTAGCATTTCCTAAGCAATTTTGGCCATTGGCTCAGTCAGGATTGATCTCCGTTGCACCAGCTACTTCGCAGATTGGGGGAGGAGCTCAGACTCCCACCGCCTGTACTCCAGAGCGCCGGGCTCATATTGCTCAGGTTCTGGGTGTAGTGCCGGTACAGCCTGAGATCAGGCCAGGGGCATCAGAGAAGGAGCAGAAGAGGCTGGAGAAGTTCAAGAGTTATAGTCCACCTACTTTCAATGGCACATCTACTGAGGCTGCACAGAGATTTCTAGACAAATGTCATCGTATTCTCCATACCATGGATATTGTGGAGGTGAACAGAGTTGCTTTTACTACATTTCAGTTGTCGGGAGCAGCATATCAGTGGTGGCAGGTTTATGAGGAGGGTGGACTAGCAGATGCAGCACCACCCACTTGGGCTCAGTTTTCAGAGATGTTTTTTAGGGATTTAGTCCCCGAGACCCTCCAAAATGCATGGCGTACCAAGTTTGAGCAGCTGCGTCAGCGCACCATCACGATGTCAGAATATTCCATCCGGTTCAGTGATTTATCCTGTCATACACCTACTTTGGTTCCTACAGTCAGAGAACGAGTCTTCAGATTCATTAAAGGGCTCAGTTGTGATTTTTTATTCAGCATGGCTCGGGAGTTGCAGAGTGATACTCTATTTCAGCAGATGCTGGAGTTTCTAGGATGTTAGAGCGTATTCGGGGTTAGGAGAGGGAGGATAAGGAGACCAAGAGGTCTTGAGGTTCTGGAGGTTTAGTGGAGTCTACTCTTCAGCTATGACTAATTGTGGCGGAGGCTCCGGCAGTCAGCCAGTCCAATCCGCACTTCATACTACTTGTGGTGCTCCAGTTAGTCACGGTACTCATGTGGGGCAGTCATCTTTTAGTGCACCACCGACACGGGGTTCCTACATCAGTTATTCTAGTTGTCCGGCACGGACTCAGTACGAGCAGCCACGCCCACAAAGGGGTTGTTATTAGTGTGGTGATACTTGATACGCTCAAATTACACTTTAAATAAATAGTGTAAGGCGGTCGGTATCAAATATAATAACCCGACAAGGTTGGGGTCGAATCCCACAGGGAATAGGTGTGAAAAGGTTACTTAAGTAGTGTGAAACTTGACTTAGGTCGTAATTCTATTCCTTTAGCTTAACAAGAGAATGATATAATTGTGATTTAACAAGATAACTATTTTGTTATGAGAATGTGATTAATTTGATTAAGGAAACCAAGGTTGTGTCTCCATCAATGAAATGTAATGCTATCGCTGTTAATATGATATATTTTTAATGGAAGGTCCTTTGATATGCAAATGGTTTCTAAATGACTACCCAATATTTTCCAATTGGTGGATAGTATTTTCTCTTTATGATTTTCCCAAATATAAAAGGGTTGCAAATAAGAACAACCAATTTTTGCCAAGTAGAACTCACTTATTCCTAAGTGATGCTATTAAACAAGGTTTAAAGTCTTGAGTTCTTGATATTCACTTCTACCAAACCCTAACCCGTTTTTCCAAGCAAAGAAAGAGTAAGATGGAATATGTTAATGTTTGCAACCACCAACAATAAATAAAGCACAAGAAATGAATAAATATCAACCAACCATTATATATATATTCAATGTCAAATACCCATTAACATTAGGGTCCACAACCTTAGATTTAAAACTAGCTATTTATACTAAAATACAAAAGCAAATCAATAAATAAAGACATAAAGCTTACAAAAGTGCAAGATTCTCTCTTCACAAGCTTCCAAATTAATGGAGTATTCAATGCCTTCAATGTTGTCCCTTTTTCAAACTCAATGCCCCACAAAAATCCTAGTTATTCTTTTTATAGTGGACCAAAAGTCGTGGTCAAAATCCGACAAAATTGCCCCTGCGGAGACCTTCTACGACCGCATAACGCAGACCAAGTATGCGGTCCGCATAATCAGCATTTGCATCGCATAGCTATAGGTCTTGAAGCCCAGATCTCCGTCGCATTCCAATTATGCGGTCCGCATATCCATTACGCGACCGCATTATACCATCGCAGAATAGCTACCTAGCAGCTTCAGTTTGAATTGTGCAGTCATTATGCGGTCCACAGAAGCGTTATGCAATCGCATAATGGCCGCACATTTTTCTCTTCAGTTGGCCAAAAGCTCTGCTTCACTTTGCGGAGGTTATGCGATTCGCATTTGACTTCTGCGGTCGCATACTTGCAGCATTTCTATCCTTTTGTGACTTTTTGACTTCTTTTCCATGTTTTGGGTCTTCAAGTCTCATGCACTACAAAATACCAACACTTGATAAGAATTAGCTAAAAAAATGCATTGAAAGACAAGCTAAAATCAAAGTTATTTGTATCAAAAGTGCCTAAATTCTACGGCACATCAATACTAGGCACATAATGAGAGATTGTCCCGGACTCGGGAGGGGTAAATTTCGTCAGAGCGCTTAGGCTATATGCTCTCCAGTTGCTACTCCACCTGCACAGCAAGTTAGGGGTGGAGGATAGGCGGGTAGAGGGCACCATAGGGGGGAGGCCCGGCCCGTTGATATGCCTTCTATGGTAGGGCTGAGGCTGTTGCATCAGATGGTGTTGTTACAGGTATGGTTTCGATTTATTATAGAGGAGCATCATTCTTATTTGGATTCAATTGTGCTTGTCGGGGTGAGTCCTCCTAGCTTGCTTCACATATGGGTGAGTTTCATGATTTTGTACTCTGCTTATGTGTTTACCCTTGCTAGGAGATTCTATAGTGGTAGCCCGTGTCTATCGTTTTGTTTTGTTCACCACTGAGAGCTATACTACTAGATTGAACTTTTTGTTACTCAATATGGTAAGTTTTGATGCGATTTCTTGATGGTTTAGCTATGATTCGTGATTTAGGTGCTCTACCAGTATTGGGAGTCTGTTATGTGTGGTGATTTTGTTTCGCATAATTGGGTTAGTGGAAGGTTGCAGTTGGTATGACGTGCACTCTACTTGTGATTCAGAGCTGAGGATGGGATCCTCGCGTTTTCATGTGGTTTGATATGTTTGAACAGGGCTACGTGCCACGATGGGGTTATATTAGGATGAGATCCTTGTGATTAGTTCATATGATTTAATTCTCCCTTGTAGAATTTATTCATAGTATGGTAGTGATAAGGAGCTGTGCCTGTCGGGCTTGTTTGATAGTTCTCTCAAGTGTTTCTCTTTGCATATTCAGTCATATTCGTAATGTGCTTATTTGGTTTTAACTTGGATGTGTGTGCCCAAGTGGCGTTAGATGTGACTTGTTGATTTGAGTGAATGGTCATGGGATCTTCATGTTTCTTGCCTAGTTGTCAGTGTTATGAAGGTTTGGAACAAGGTTCTAGCTGATATGAGGTTAATTGCCGATGTTGGATTTGATTATGGGCAGCTATGGTGGTCAGAGATGTTGTTATGGGCATATGTGTGATGTGTTACGTTGTGTGGTTGTACATTGTGGGTGTAGGCATAAGTTGTTGTAGCTGGTTGAGGCTGATACCATGTGTTGATGTGGGAATCGGGTCTTTGGGAAATGATCGGATGGTGAAAATTTTGGTTCTAAGGTTTATTAGGGTGGGTGGAAGGAATAATTTTCAGTGAAAATGGTGTTGTCAGGCCTATGTGAATTGGGGTGATGTGGGATCACCCGCAAGTATATGTATGTTAAGTTCATTCAGTGATTTGATGACTTTGGAACGATTCTTGGCACGTTCGAGGACAAACGTTTGTTTAAGAGAGGGAGAGTATAACGACCCGGCCGGTCGTTTTGAGAATTATTATCTCGTTCGGTGGCTTAAGGTCTCGAGTAGCTTCATATTTGTAACGACCCGACCGGTCATTTTGAGATTTAGCATTCCATTTGGTGGTTTGAGACTTTAAGTAGCTTCATATTATGTATTACGATATGGTTGGTTTCGATTTTCGAGCGGTTCGAGATTGATTTGGAAGAATGATTCTCGTTTTAGAAGCTTTAAGTTGGAAGAGTTGACGAAGGTTTGACTTTTGGATAAACATACTTGGAATCGGGTATTAATTATTCCAATAATCTTATATGATGATTTTTGACATGTCAGCAAATTTTGGTTAAATTCCGATGAGTTTTGGATATGTTTGGATTGTATGGTGATTGTTTTCGATTTTGACGTCGATTTGAGCATAAAGGTTACCATACTGAGTAAACCGCCTTTGCTTCGTCTTTCAACTAAACTATTATATCCGTATCGTAATTTTGGAATCATAGCAACTGAAATCATCTAGTTTTGACATCGTATAAGGAATTTGAGGTCATTTTACTAAGAATTAGGTTGCCAGATTTTTCAGATTAATTACGAAATGGCCACTGAATTCGTATTTAAAAATCTGCACTATTTCCAATATTGAAACCAACATATCTCCTTCATTATAAGGTCAAATAGAGTGATTCAAAAGCCTAACATGACTGGAATTTCACGAGGAATCCATTGGAGGCATCAAAAAGCGAGTTTCGGAATCATTTGGTACAAGAAACAAGGCAGAACAGCTAGGCATTTTTGGCTATTAATGTTGTTTTGAGTTTTTCTCATCTTGAAAGTTTGGGATTGGAAGAATCCAAGGATTTTCTTCAAGTTTCTTCCATAGGGTAAGTGTTTTCTATTCGGTTTGGATCATATTCTATGATTTTATCGTCATTTTTAGCATTTGATTGATGATTTCAAAAGAGAAATTGGGGGTTTTTGTCTAAACTTTCCTAAAGTGAATTTTTGAGTTTTGAACACCGATTCGGAGTTGGAATTGAGTGAAATTAGTATCGTTGGACCCGTAATTGAATGAGTTGTCGGATTTTATGAGTTCAGGTTCCGCGGGCCCGAGTTTTACTTTTTGCTTGCCGTACCAAGGTTATTGTTATTGTGGGCACGAGGTGCCATATTGTATGAATTGGGAAATTGTTGTTCATGACTTGTGTTTTATGAGGTGTGGTGCCTCGGGGTAATTCTTGTTGAAAGTCCATGCATTGGGAGCGATTTGATTATTTGAGTTGTCATCCGTTTTTTCCTTATGTGTGTTCATTTACATCTCATCGGTGTCCTGATTATGTTGTTTCTTTATTACTCATTTACTACTTGCTGCCATTTATGTTTTATTACTTCATTGTTGGTTGTAAATCAATAATTTTTCCGTTGTTGGTCTTACATTGATGATCTTTCCATTGTTAGCTTATGTATATCTTGAACAGGTTTCTATGTCTAATAGGTGTCATGAAATGGCCTCGTAACTACTCTACCGAGGTTAGGCTTGATACTTACTGGGTACCGTTGTGGTGTACTCATACTATGCTTCTGCACATTTTTGTGCAGATCCAAGTATTCTGATTGTGTTGTTTAGAGTTGCGTCTGCGCGACGGGAGACTTCAAGGTATGCCTGCTTGACGTTCGTAGGCCTCGGAGTCACCATCTTACTTTATTACGCTACTGTTAAATTGTAATTCAAAACAGTATTGTATTTAGCAATTCTAGTGTGTTTTAGTAGTTCTTATGACCCCGTACTACCGATTTTGGGATATAACTATTGGCCGCTTGCAGTTATATGTGTCATTTAATGGTTTATGATAAATGATTAAATATTTCAATTCTGTTATTAAATCATCATATGTTAGGCTTACCTAGACTTAGAGACTAGGTGCCATCACGACATCGTAAGGTGGGAAATTAGGGTCGTGACAAGTTGGTATCAAAGCTCTAGGTTCATAGGTTCTATGAGTCATAAGCAAGTTTAGTAGAGTCTTGCGGGTTGGTACGGAGACGTCTGTACTTATCTTCAAGAGGCTACAAAACTATTAGGAACTACTTCTTTCATTCCTTATCGTGCGACATTGATTCAACTTGAAGCATATATCTTATATCCCTTTACATCCACTCATATATGATGTTGTGCGCTCAGCAATAGCTATGCTCCAATGGTTTATATTGCTGCAAATGGGTTACGAGGGGGCCATAGATGCTCGATCATTGTCTCGAGGTATTTTCCAAACTAAGGACGCGGACGTGTTGATAGATCTTCAATTGTTCAAGTGTGGGATGCAACTGGTTCGTGTTTCTGATTGGTGATGTACGAGCTTATGAAGGTAGGTAATGTGGATTATGGGATGTTGTGCTCTATGACTCCGCGCCAAGTGTCATATTAGTCTTGGGTCCGAGGTATATATGTAGTGTTGAGGGGTTGCCCGTACATGACTAAGATTTGATATGTTCATAGGATGGTGCTTGAACTTTTGGTATATCTGTATCATTGCTAAATCTACATTCCAGTATTAGAGAGGTAAGAGAAACATCTTCAGATTCACAGAAGGTATCTTCAGAGTGAGTATTACGGTTACAGCATAATTGGGTGCTCTAGAGGAAATACAATTGTTTAAGGGTTTTCAGACGACGTGGTTCGTGCTAGGGTCTTCCGCATAGAGCTTTGACTTAGGATCATTGTGTACCGATAAGGGAAAGTGTTGACCTGAAGACAAGTCGAGGAGGATTAGAAGAAATAGGTCAGCTCGGTGGTGCTGGATCAGCATAGCAAAAAAGTTAACTGGTCTTTTGGTGTGGTAATGCTTCACCAACATTCTGTGACAATACTCTTGGGTTGGCTTTTTAGTTTTCATTAATATCAAAGCTTTATAATCCGGAATTGTTTCCTATGGGTTTTATTTATGATAGTAAGTTATTTTTGCTAGATTTGAGCCGTCCGGAGGTTGTTTCACACAAGAAGGTCATTTTAGAGTATCAGTTTAGCTTCTTTGAGGTAAGTATCTTTCCTAACTTTGTATGAGAAAACACCCCTTAGGAATTGATTCGTTTGTGCTATTTTTGTCATGTGAAAGCCGTGTACGCGAGGTGACGAGTAGTAGCAGTACTTGGGCTTATATGTGGAAATTGACCGGTTTAGACTCTTAGGCTTCTTTCATGTACTTATTTGGAATTGTTAGTACATGTTATATCTCTTATTCCTCATGTCTACTATCGCATGCTTTATTGAAGTTATTATCACTTTTATCATTATGTGATTTCTTTTTATTGTGGAGTTACTCTTAGTTGAAATTGTTATTACATGATATCTTTTTGTTGCCGGGTTGTTCTCATGCATTTAGACATAGTACTAGTTCTTTCCATCTCTTTCATTGTTAGCCTATTCATACACTAGAATCTGAAGTTTGCCATTTCATAGAAATACTTTCACTATTGAGTTTATCCTTAAACAATTAATTGAAATTGAGGTTATCGAAAGTCATTAATCTATTTTAATTGAAGTTGTGTTTAAAGGGGGTGTTGTTCCTTGTTGAGTTACTTTCTCGTTTATTTTGTTGTTGTTCAAATTCTATGCACATTGCATTGAGCCGCAGGCTATTTGTTGTGGAAATATTGATATTGTTGGATCTTTGGAAAGGTTGTGACTTATGGGCACTTGTGATACGAGTTGATTTGTCGTGTTGTTGTGATGTTAGCACATGTGAATTGTTGTGTGGTTTGGTTGTTGTTATGCGGAGTATAAGGGTGATATTTCACCGTTGTTGTTATGCCGGGCATAAGGGTGGTATCTCACTATTGTTGAATGTATGGAGTGATGCAAGTGGCTATTGTATTATTGTCCAGGCGGAGCGATAAGGGTGGCTATTATACGGAGTGATATGGGTGGCTATCATAGTGATATGGGTGGCTAATGATTAATGTCAGGGCGGAGTGTAACGGGTGGCTATCGGAGAGATAAGGGTGGCAATGTCAGGGATGATGTGATATGGCTTGGGGACATTTTGTTGGTGATATTCGTGTGATGGTGTGTTTTTTCCTTGTGTATGTCATACACCTTACGTGATTTGTTGTGTTGCTTCGATGAGCTAATCGATGTCTTGATATTACTTGTTAATTTGGGCTACACTAGTACACTCGCACAAGCATACACCGTAGCATGCCACCTATACTAGCTCAGGAGTAGGAAACTTGACATTTATTGCTCATGCCCATATGTTCTTGTATTATTTGTTTTCACGTTGATATTGAGCCTGTGACAATACCGGGCGGATTGTTATTTGTGAGCCTATGACCACGCCAGGCGGATTGTGATTATGAGCGTGTGACCATGCCGAGCGGATTATGATTGTGAGCCTGTTATCATGCCGAGCGGATTGTGAATGTGAACTTGTGATCATGCCGGGCAGATTGAGATATTTGCAAGTGAGTTGTCCGTGCGGTTGTGAATTGAAATGTGGGCACAAGGTGCGGTGAGCATAGGATGGTGGGTTAAGACCCCCTGACTTATGACTATGAGATGAGGTATCACGGAGTGATTTCGTTGTGAAACTTGTGTTAGAGCAGCTTGATTAATTTGTTGTCCTTTGTGTTCCTTATTTCGTTTCAACGGTACTTCATGGTGTTCTTATTGCTTTACTATTTATATCACTTGTTGATTCTTGGTTCCATTTACAGATTTCTGCTTTACATTATTAGCTTTATACTTCTATACTGCACGGGTTATTTTGTCTAGTGAGTGTCTTGACTTGTACCTCGTCACTACTCCACCGAGGTTAGTATTGATACTTACTGGGTACTGATCGTGGTGTACTCATACTATACTTCTGCACATATTTATGCAGAGCCGGGTATTGGAGGTATCAGACTCGAGCAGAGTGAGCATATTGGTCACGAGGATTCAAGGTAGAGCTGCTTGGCCGTCGCAGTCCCGTGGAGTCCTTTTCTTTCATTGTACTGTCAACTTGTTATTTGAACAGTATTGTATTTTGATCTTTGAGATCTTTCCATGTACTTAGCTAGAGCTCGTGAATCTGCATTATTAGTCTTGGGAGGTTGTTATGATTATTTCCGCGTAGGCTCATTTCGCTCTTGTTTCGGTATTCATATTAAACTCTATTTCAAATTATCATTGTTAAAAACTGGCTTAATTCTTATAGTAATCGGTTTACCTAGTCTTAGAGACTAGGTGCCATCACGATATCCTATGAAAGGAGTTTGGGGTCGTGACATTTAGACAGTGATGTTGTAGACATTTAGCTTACTCTGTAGAGCTTATGACTTAGTTCCACCGGTCTTGGGGAGTGCATTGTTGAGATTCTATTTTAGGAGTTTATATCAACTTATCAGACTTGTTGTACTATTTTGTTGATTATTTCGGTCAAGTTATTATCAAATGTTAGGCTTACATAGTCGTAGAGACTAGGTGCACTCACGATATCCTACGGAGGAAAATTGGGATCGTGACAGTAAGTGTGATTCGGGCACTATTTTGAAGGAAAGAAGATTTAACAACTTAAGAGAAATTCTATTCGGTTTGAGCGTCGATTATTTATTGTGATATTTTTGTGGGTGTTTTGAGGCGTTGGAAAATTTTGGATATTGTATTTTTACTTGTTAGTATGATTTGATGGGGTCCTGAGGGGCTCGGGTGTGTTTAAGATCACTGGTTGAGAGACTAGTTAAGTTAAGGATTTGGAGTTTGACCATGGTCAATATCGAGTCAAGACGATCTCTTTTTGGTATTTTTGAGTGCACAATCAAGTTCGTAGTGTGTTTTACCGTTAAAATGCATACGTGGTTTGTGTCAAGGAAGGTTCCGAATGAGTTTTGGGTGCTAAAACAAATTTTGTTTATTTGCTGATTTTTTTAGAGTAAATAATTAAGAAATACTAGTTATGTTCCTCAAATTTTCATACTTCATTTAAAAAATCAAAATATCATATCTCCTCATTTTAAGGCCAAATTGGGTGATTCAAAAGGCTATCTTGGGTGTAATCTCGCAAGGATCATGTTGGGCTTATAAAATGTGGGTTTCGAGATAATCTAGCATCTGATTTGGGTTGGGACAGGAATTGTATTTTTTTACTTATTTCGGATTTAGTTACTTTTTCTCACAAAGTTTTGGAACTCGGGAAGAGGCAACTTTTTTAGGGAGTTATCATCTACTTCATTGGGGTAAGTAAACCTAACTCGAATTTATGATTAAAAAAATCTATCATTGATTTTGGCTCTAAATCAAGGAATGTTTAAGAAGAAAAGAGGGTTTTGGCTTGAAATATAAGAAAGTGTATTTTGGGGGGGGGGGGGGTTGGGGGGGTTGGGAAAACTTTTTTAAATTGAAAAATCGAGATTAGAACCTCGATTTGGAGTTAATTTTTGATGAAACTTATATATTTGAACTCATATTGGAATGAGTGTTCGGGATTTGTGAGTTTCGTCGGATTCCGGGATGCGGGCCCAGGTTGATTTTTTGGTTCACTTGAGTATTTGATTAAAGACTCGACCTTTATCGTTTGGTCTTGATTCATATGGCATTATTTGATGTTATTGATTTTTTTTGCTAGATTCAAGTCGCTTGGAGATCGATTCGCATGGGAAGATGTTTTTAGAGTATTGATTTGGCTTGTTTGAGGTATGTGTCTTGCTTAGCATTGTTGAAAAAAAAATTCCTAATAAATGATATTGTTTGCTACATGCGGGGGTGATGCATATGCGAGGTGATGAGCGTATATACATGTGTCAGGGTTATCTATACTCGGAGTAAATTATATGCTTCTTTGTGCCTTGTTGAACTTTGTGGCCTTTGACCTATGCTTTATTTACTTCTATGGCTAAATGAGTTAATTTATCCATGCTAGAGATCCTGTTAAAACATCTGACATCTTAAAGGAATTTAATGAGCTATTTTTGAGATTGTCGACGTACTTAACTTGGCCGTAGAAATTCATATATTATCAACACACATTTGTAAATGTCATTTCATGTTACTTGAGGTTCTTTATTCATAACTATGATTGGGGCCTTAGGGGAATGTTTTGCACGATAGGTATTTCCGTGCGATTGATATAATGTTTGCACAATGGGTATTTCTATGCGGTTTGAAATGAGATTGGCACGTGGGTTGTTTCTTTGCGAAGAGGATGGAAGTTGGACCTTACGTTATGCTTACTCGTTCCTTAGACACATACATGTAATAGCCCTTTCCTATTTGCCCTGGAAATTGACGCACTGACGCACCATATTCAGGGGGGAAGTGTCGTGGTGCATGTTATTTGTAGATGACATTGTGCTAATTTACGAGACGTGCGGCGGTGTTAACAGGAGGTTAGAGGTCTGGAGGCAGACCCTAGAGTCTAAAGGTTTCAAGTTGAGTAGGACCAAAATTGAGTACTTGGAGTGCAAGTTCAGTGATGCGACTCTGATGGTGGACGAAGACGTGAGGCTAGATTCACAAGTCATCCCTAAGAGAGGGAGTTTCAAGTATCTTGGTTCCGTTATCCAAGGGAATAGGGAGATTGACGAGGATGTCACACATCGCATTGGGGCAGGATGGATGAAATGGAGGCTCACTTCCGGTGTCTTTTGTGATAAGTACTTGCGACCAAGACTTAAAGGGAAGTTCTATAGAGCGGTGGTAAGACCGACTATGTTGTATGGGGTGGAGTGTTATCCAGTCAAGAACTCTCATGTCCAGATGATGAAGGTGGCTGATATGAGGATGTTGAGATGGATGTGTGGACATACCAGGCTAGACATGATTAGAAATGAAGTTATCCTGGACAAGGTGGCCGTGGCTTCTGTGGAGGACAAGATGCAGGAGGCAAGACTAAGATGGTTCGGACATGTGAAGAGGAGAGGCACAAATGCACCAGTGAGGAGGTGTGAGAGGTTGGTCTTGGAGGGCCAACGGAGGGGTAGAGGCAGGCCGAAGAAGTAGTAGGGAGAGGTGATTAGGAAAGATATAGAATTGCTCCAGCTTACTAAGGACATGACCATGGATAGGAAAGTGTGGAGGTTGGGAATTATGATAGAGGGTTAGGTATTCGAGCTTTGTCTTTGTTTTGTTACAGTAGCTTTAGTACACCACTTAGTGTCCTTATGTATTTTCGCCTTTTGGACTTCTGTTATTACTTGTAGTTGTCTTCGCTTCGATTATAACTGTACTAGTTAGTGATAGTTGTGTGTTTCCGCCTGTTTTCCGATTGGTTTGCTTGTCATTGGACCTTCCCTTTATCTTCCCTTAGCCGAAGGTCTAACGGAAACAGCCTCCCTACATTTTAAAGGTAGGGGTAAGGTCTGCGTACAGACTACCCTTCCCAGACCCACTTGTGGGAATACACCGGGTTTGTTGTTGTTGTTGTTGTTGTATCTTCTCTGTTACTTTCATATCTATGTTTCCTTACTTAGTTTACCTCTATGTTTCCTCTTTGTCCTGTTATTATAGATGTATGTCCCTACCCTGTTTATTATCGTTATACATACGCTTTATACTTGATTTATTACTGTTACATGTACTTACCTACTTCATGCCTTTACTTGTTACGCGCTTTTACTTGCCTTTACATGTTACCAGACTTTACCTGTCACATAACTTTATTTACAATATGCCTTCACTTACTACATGCCTTCACTGACTATACGCCCTTGCTCGCTACATGCATTCACTTACTACATGAGCTCATTTATTAAATGCCTCTACTTGATAACTATGTTTACTTGTCATACTCCTTTACTCATTTCATGTCCTATTCTTCTATGCTTAGTCGGATTGGGTGACTATTAGATTCATTGTGCGTTTGTGCTTTGTGGAAGCCTGGGAGACTAGCTCTTGGGTACTGGGTTGTCCATCTTACTTTGTTTGAGTTTGTATTTCCTAGTTGAATTCTGTGTGTTCGTTTTCTTGGTGTTATGTTATGAATTTTTCTGTGCTTGGTTGTTATTAAATAATTTCATATGAACTGATATATATTTGGATAGCTATATATATATATATATATATATATATATATATATATATATATATATATATGGATCGGGTTGCACGCCGCAACGGTATATACATTGACATATGGATAGGGTTGCACGCTGCGACAATATACATATATTGATATTGGAATCTGTTTGCACACCGCAATAGTACTTATTAATATTGGGATCGGGTTGTATGCCGCAACAGTATTTATTAATATTGGGAACGGGTTGCACGCTAAAACGTATTTGTTAGTGATGTTTGGTTATGACCCTTTCACGTACTTCATAATTTTTGTTTCCCTCGTAGAAATGGTTCATAAGGTTATGTCTTATTTGCTATGTTTGTTAACTTGCTCCTTAGTTCTCTAGTTGATGCTCTTACTATTACTCATCGCATCCCTCGCCTTGTTTTCCTGCTTATTATCCGCACAGGTTAATAATAGGTGAGTATCTTTTGACCTAAAATCTCGTCACTACTTCACCGTAGTTAGTCAAGATACTTACTGAGTACATGGGATCGGTTGTACTCATACTACACTTATGCACCTTGCGTGCAGATCTGGGAGCCGAGTAGCTGTGGAGGATGATGCCTTGCATTGGCGATGTACCTGAATTTCGGATATAAGCTACAACTTGTTCTTGGTTGTTTAGGATTATACTTCTGTTTAGGTATCGTCAAACAGATGTTGTATTTATTTTTGTAACAGTTTTGCAACTTTGAATCTTAGTGGCTCATGATTTACTACCAATCCTTGGGATGTTTTATAGAATTTAGTTACTTTTGTTCCTTGTTATTAATTTAACCTTTTATAATTATGACAACAAACAAGCCATTGTAACTATTATATAATTATTACTCTTATAATTACACAGCCAGGTAATTATATATGGCTTTCCAAACAAACTCTAAGTGGAAGGGAACTTTCTAATAATTAGTGCAACAACAACTAATAAAGAAAGGATTGTTCATCAATTCTTATTATAGTAACACCTTTTATCTTCAGACTTAGGACACTCGACAAACAGCAGAAACAGCTAGATACACAATGTTTTTCCTAAGGAAGAAACAAAGAAGAAATGAGAGTCTCTCTGGATCTACGTACATAATACATTGTTTTGTTTCATCGTTCAACAAAATATTCCATATGAAGTACAGAAACTTCACAGTTGCCTGCAAATGGTGATTCCATCACCTAAAGGGACTTGAGAAATTTGAATGCGAGTATCAGCCGCTAGAAACTTGTTAAATTCAATAATGTGATGCCTGTTTGGCCCAGTTTCAAATGAATTGATCTTGTAGTAGCCACTTTGAATTATAACCTTGCTCTGCTTATTCTTGAAGCACTTTTATAAGGATTGTTTTTTTAGAGAGTTTCTTTTCACATCTACACTACGAAATTAGTTTAGAGAGTAGATGCATTCATCTAGGTTGCAGGTTGTAGGGCGATTACGGTTAGTATCAAAATAAAAGATTTTTGTAACCTGAAACTACTCGTTTTTTTTAGTGAAGTTTGTGAGAAAAATCTTAAAGTTGAGTCGTGATTTTTACTCCCTTAAGCAAGGAGGTTTTCCACATAAAATTTCTTATCTTCTTTACTCTTCGTACTTATTTGTTACGGGAGTTGTGAGAACAAGTTGAACAACCTGATTTTGGGTATAACATGACAATTTTTGGTGTAAAATTTTAATAGATCAATACATTATTAAACCCCCTCCCCTCTCTAGTGAATATGTGGTATACTAAACTAACAATTGGTATTAGAGCAGGCTCTCAATCACTAGCCTAACACCTTTGAGAGATTCACAAGATGAGTGCACCATCGTAGATGAATGAAGGACAATCTACCACATGTTCACCCTTGTTCAACGGCCAGTACTATAGCTGGTAGAAAGCGGGGATGAAAGACTTCCTAACATCATCAAGCCTCTGAGGGCATCCCATCATATCATCTCGTCCTCTGTGGGCGAAATTATCAACGTATACCAGCTGATCAGGTGGTGGTGCGTATATAATGCCATAACCTTTCCCCATACCCCATATACATATACTATACGCGTATATAACGCCATCTGATCACGGGTCAATATACATGTATAAATAGATGCAATGCATAATGAAGTAAGTCAATAAGATCTCTCGAAATGTCATGAGACCCATGAATAGACGATATGATAGTAGGACATATGGGGAATCAACAACATAGACAACCCTAGTACTTCTAAGAATAGAATTATTTGTGAAAGTTACGTGCTTGCTCGTTTCGTTGTATCATATGGATCATGCCAAAAGGAAAGAAGGGATAGCCTTAACATACCTCAAGTCGTCAATGCAACTCAACAACAAGCTTATGACAACTAGCGCGCCAACCCTATAACAAAGAAATACATGTACAACTTAGATGGCGCTAGTATATCACGTATCTCAAACGATAACTCGATTCTAAAATAAAACGAGCAGCATTTTCCCTGATTTTGCTACTCCCTCAAGCCTACTATAGGCGAGATACAAACACAATAGAATCAGCAACTCAAAAAAAAACCAACTACAATTTGGGACCTTCAATACAACAAAAACCCCAAATATATCATAACACACCCAATCAACAAGTTATCAATTAGCCTGAAATTGCAACGATGAGCTACCTGCCTACTACCCTACCACATGTGGCGTTTCTCCACGCCCTTCATCATTTCAAACTCCATAAATCAGTAGCACATAGGCCAACACGAGTGGACTACAAAACTGTCCACAAAAAGTGAAATAAATCGAACCCACGACTTTCGATCACCGTCCCGTGAGTTCTAACTATTAGGAAATGAATTTACCAATATTCCTTGATATTTAAAAGTTTTAATACAGAAAGTAGGTATTTTCTTAAATATGAAGTACCTTCTAAAACTCAAAATACAAAGGAAAAATAGAGGCGGTTTAATGATACTTACGTCGTAGGGATCGTTCTAATGTTATCGCTTCTTGATTTCGTGAAAGGGATGTTGATCTTGCTTGGAATTTCATGGAACAGCCTTGGAGAGCTTGAAAGTATTTTTGTGTAAGTCTTCTGTGTATAATGATAAGATATATAAGAGAGAAGATAACTTATAAGCCCACCGCCTCAATTCTCCAAGCAGGTGGGTAAGCTGCCTGCTTGGCAGCTTGAGCGGTGCAACTTCGAACGCTTGTATCTCTCTACTCCAATATCGTATTGATACACGGTTTGCAGCGTTGAAAACTACAAACATAGGGCTCTAATTCCATATAAAGATATCCATGTAACTCTCAATAGATTTTAGAGAAAATGGCCTCGTAATCTGGCCTATAAAGCTGCCAGTTTCTCCGAAGTGCGGCGATGTGACTTGGTGACCCTACTTTAAAAATTTATATTTCTCTACCCTGATGTCGTATGAATAATTGGTTTGGACCATTGGAAACTAGGTTCCAAGACCTTCATTTTGGTATGATATATGTCCTAAAATGAAATCATAAAGCTTACGAATTTAATTTCTCAAAACGGTTCGTTACAAGGCAAATCTTAACTCGATTTTTCCGTAAGTTAAATCCAATTTTTCCCAAACTTTATATGTTATATCCAAACATCAGATATAATCATATTATGACTTTACACTTCTTCAAATCATGATTAACAAGTCTCATATTCGTTATACGTCATACTAGGACGCACAGGGTGTAACACCAAACTTGTCGACTTTCGACAAAACTTATTTTCTTCAATTCGTTTACCTTCAAAGCTTTCTAACCATCTTGGTACTTGTTATTCATGATCATAAATATTTGTAACCTCCACGGTAACATGATTAACTTATTTTATAAACTTTTCAAAGATGATTTCATTTCTGAGCTTATATCAATTGACTTACGACGTACTCTTACGTATGAAAACATAGGGTGTAACACACCCTCGGGACCGTGATGGCGCCTAACATTTCACTTGCTAGGCAAGCCAGCGA